TATATATATATATTTCATTAATAAGGATTATGATATTCACTTTTTTTACAATTAAAAAAAAAAAAGAATTAGATTGACTTATTCGACCTTTAATTGTGGATATAATAGTATAAAAATTGATAATGGAAACTAACTTATGTAAGTGTAGAAATTCACATGAAGACATAGATGGTTTTTACAAAAAAGAAAAAAAGAAAAGAATAATATTATTTGCAATCGCTCACTACAGCAATCGTCCTACGTGGTCAATGCATCAAATAACCACTTGTCATGTATATGTCACGTAAGACGACTGTCGCAGTGAGTGACTACGAATAACATTACTCAAAAGAAAAAGGAAAACAAATTACTTTTTGACTTGGAGTTCCATTTGAGTTTGAACTTTTGACTATTGGCTCTTTACCGTTTTATGATTCAATTTTTAAATTAAATTTAATACATTGCCTTTTTTGAATATCTTCCATATCCTACACGTCAAAAAGGCAACAAACAATTTATGGAGAATCAAAATTTGCATCAATGTCTATTGGGGGACCAATACGAGCTTCAATTTCAAATTAACAAGGAATTACAAAAGTCTAAACATGTTTTCGGAAACATTCCACTAGCAATAATCATTAAACATCATTAGGGTTTCTTGTCATTACTTTCAATGTTGATCATGGGCGGATCTAGGCACGGCTCGTCCCTTCGGCCGAATTGTCCATTAAAAAAAAAAATTTAAGTAATTTTTTTTTTACGTGCAATATTTTTTTTATACGTATTAGCCCGTGTTGAATTTTTTCCCGAATCCGCCACTGATGTTGGTCAATACTAATATCATGAATAAAGCTATATGTAATATTTTACAGGAGGCTCACAGACAACTCACATCACCTTATTAAAAAATTACCCCAAAATACCCACCCACCCCTATTTGTGAGTGTCTGTAAATTCCCTGTAATCTATCGACTTGTATGTGTAGAGGGGTTGTAATACCATACCATTAAATAAAGCTAGACTTATCCCAAGTTGAATGCCGTCCTTATCTGTACATCTAAACTTGTTATTGTGAGTGTTTATTAAGTTAGCGAAGGATGCTAATGTCATTCGCGAGCAATGAATGATTAGTGGTCCATTAGTACGACATACACGTAGGGCTCACGCTAATCATGATATGAATTAGTGCCAACTTAAGTTTATGTAAGACAGATGATTATGTATTTTATGTTCTACGAACAAAAGAAGGAAAAAAAAAAAGGGGGGGAGAAATTACATGTATGAACACAAAAGTTTAGAGCCAAAATGTTTGCAGAGGAGAGCAAAATCTTCAATTTACTTATTTAAAAGTAGAATCTTAAATCATTCAAATATCGGCGCGAACAAAAGGTAAATCGAACAAAAGGTCAATGAAACAAGGCATGCGTTCGACACAGTTTTGAATCTTTGCATCTTCTTGCAAGTCTAAATGCATTTACTGTCTGCTATGCCTTTACTGTGTTTTGTACCTCTTCTATGATGTAAATATATCAAGGATGGGGATAAATATAGGGAACGAAAAGCTAGCCAATAGTGCAATAATTAGTTTGCACAATCTTTTAGCAATCATAGATAGGCTCGAAAACAGGGTGAACACGTGTCGAAACATGATTGGATACTTTAAAAAAAATAAAAAATGGTCAACCAATTTCTGTCAAATCAGTGAATCCTCTGATTTTATTTTTATTATTTTTTTTTTAACCTGTCTAACTGGCTTTATTCATCTTTTTAGAATGACAGTGCACTACTTTAGGTTTCTTGATGGAATAATACATTTTTGGCACGTAGAACTTTTCAAAATAAATTAAAACAATTTATCAGACCTGAAAAATTTATAGGAAAGATCCATAAAATAGCAGCATTGATTTCTCTATCTGAACTATTTTGGTATGAAGTCACAAGGACTTAGCAAGAAAGTCCTGGGCATGTTTGGTATGCTAAGCACTACTGCACATATAATATTCTATTTCTTCTTCCTCTTTTTTTTTCCCCCGACATATTTCTCAGTTTTGTAGATTAATATAGGTTGATTGAGTGAAAACAATTAAATGAAGGAGCATAATAATATGACTTTTGTTCATGAAGATGATAATCCTCCAGTAAACCCCACTGTTTGAATTTGCGAAGAATTCTCAGAGGAGATATTATGTGTATATGGACCACCTGGTTTATGTGTCTATAAGCATGCTATCAATCAACAAAATAGTCTATAAACTCCTCTTAGAATTTAGATGTCTGCCTTAGCTTGTCTATTTCACTACTAAAATTTCGATACCTCATTACAATTTCGAGGTATCATTGTTTTAGTGAAATATATCTTCTTCAAAACTAATGGTGAAAGTTGGGGGGGGGGGTGCGTTTCCTTTGCTGTGTTTTCCAGTCGTTTTCTGTTTTTAGTTTTCGAAAATATCCAAAACGTGTTTGGTCACTCGTTTCTGAAAATGTATTTTTGAAAACAAAGAAAAATTTATAACTGAAAATGTAAAATGGATTTTTTTTTTTTGTTTTTGTTTTGGGTGTTTTTAGTTAAAAAAACCCAAAATGCAGAAACGCTCAAAACACGCTGTTTTCGATTTTTTTTTTGGATGCTAAGCAGTACTTTTAAGTTAGTAAATTTACCAAGTTTAAAATATATATTATCTGATAATATATTAGTTTAAAATTATTATGTTTTAATAAATAATCAAATTAATTGAATAAATGTCAGAAAACAATTTCTTAACTTTTATTATTTTATTTTTGTAACAAAAAAAAAAATAGTAAATTCACCAAGTTTAAAATATATATTATTTGGTAATGTATTAGCTTAAAATTATTATATTGTACTAAATAATCAAATTAGTTGAATAAATGTCGTAAAACAATTTCTTAACATTTATTATTTATTATTTTATTTTTGTAGTAAGAAAAAATAGTAAATTCACCAAATTTAAAATAAATACTATCTGGTAATGTATTAACTTAAAATTATTATGTTTTACTAAATAATCAAATTAATTGACTAAATGTCATAAAATAATTTCTAAAAATTCTAAACCAAACGCATTTTCTAGTTTTCTGTTTTGAGAAACCGTTTTTCAAAATGACAAACCAAACACGTTTTCTATAATTCGAAAATAGTCCCTCAAAACAAAAATCGTTTTCTATTTTCAAAAATGGAAACAGAAAATAGAAACACAAACCAGCTGCACCCTAAATTTCCCTTAGTTATTTTTTTTATGTATAAACTATGTTATTATTCTTCGTTATTACATCAGGAGCACTCGAGAAATTAATTATGTAAAATCGAGCGTTTAAATTTTAAACGGCTATATATTTAAAGTTAGTTTATTGGGCAAATAATTATAAATACATATTTAAAATTAATGACAATTAGTAGCTCATACACATGTGGCTTGTTTGGTAAGGTACACTATCTCTACAGAGAATCAAGGTCGTCAAACACGTAGCACAAATAAAAATCTCCCTACTTTGTAAATAGGTGTACCAGGAAACAATAGGATATTGACATACACGCTACATAGGACACATATTACAAATCATCGTTTGGCCATATGTAACACATTGCACAGACTATCATATACTAGCTTATTGTATAGTGAATCCCTAGCAGTCGAGATATCATTTTGTCATTAATCCAATATACTTTAAAACCGCTGGAGAACGAGGTGAATAAATCCCCGTTTATATACTGTATTTTGAATATACTTATCATGGGAGAACATTACATAAATATATTTATGAATAATCCAATATCGAAGACGAAAAAGTTTACATTAGTAACCACTTCTGATAAGCAAATACCAAAACAATTTTATATTAATCAGAAAAGAAGATTTTTTTTAAGATTAATTCAAACAAATAATAATTGACTATTCTCTCTTTTCTTACGTTTCTCACGTTAAAGATTCATAAATGGAAAGAAGAACAATGGCAAAATGTGTTAAATGTACCATAGTTGGATTAGCACGAGTAACACAGGCAATAAACAAAAATATAACACATTGAGAATTTACGCTTATGCTCACAAAGTAAACTTTTTTCGTCGAAAATGATACAAAATTGTACATACGGAGAAGTGTATGTAAAGATTCTAACGGAGTTTGGAGGCATGTCAAAATGTGGGTCCTATCTAAATTGCATGGCTGACTCGTTGAAACTGGCCATGAAGAAGGATCCATTATAAGACACCCCTCCTCCACCCAAAGGATTACTGAACGTTTCACCACAAATCCTCTATACAGGGCCCTCACAACCATTGCTGTACAGCACTCAACAATAAATTCATAATCTGCAGTGTACTCTCAGTTGAAGTCAGCCATTCCATTTAATTCACTCTTTTCAATTCTTGCTTTAGGCCATTCTTGATCTGTTCTTCTTTCTGTGTATATATACAGAATAACAGATTTGATTTTCTGCTAATTCTGCAGTACAGTTCGTTTCAGAGAGAGAGAGAGAGAGAGAGAGAATGGGCCATGGCCACCACACTTGTTGCAACAAACAAAAAGTGAAGAGAGGGCTATGGTCACCTGAGGAAGATGAGAAACTCGTAAGGCACATTTCTGCCAATGGCCATGGCTGTTGGAGTGTAGTTCCTAGACTTGCAGGTATTATTTTTAGAACCATATTTTCCACACACACGTACACACAGCAGAGATGTATGTGAGTGCAAAAACAGGGCTTGCTCCCTAGCTTGGCCAAACATTTTTTTAATATATATATATTTTTTAAAATGGGGATAGAAGGATCTCACCCCTCTCCAAGAAGAGGCCAGTACATAGTCCCATTGACCATAGAAGGTTTCTCTTGGCAATGTATATACATATTTACATCCGTTTTGTACTTATTCTGGTTCAGGGTTGCAGAGATGTGGCAAGAGTTGCAGGCTGAGATGGATAAATTACTTGAGGCCCGATCTAAAAAGAGGGAGTTTTTCTGCACAAGAAGCTGCACTGATAATTGATCTACACAATATTCTAGGGAATAAGTTAGTCTCATAATCGCAAAAAAGTAAAAATATAAAATAATAAAAGAATAATAAAAGTTACAGTTCAATGCAAATTGATATTTTTTTTTTTTGATTTTGCAGGTGGGCTCAGATAGCCAAGCATCTTCCAGGAAGAACAGACAATGAAGTCAAAAACTTTTGGAATTCAAACATCAAGAAGAAACTCATGTCAAGGAATCTTTCTAATATGGCTCCAGTTTCTGATCTGCCCGCAATTTCAAATATGACAAATTCTAGGAGCAATTTTCACGGTTTGTACTCAATGAATTCTAACTCTAATCTGATTCCAACTGCCCAAATGGATCAGGTCTACATCCCAGCAGCAGCCCCAAATAATCCACTGCCACAAGGGTTTGATCAGGTGAATTTTAATACCAACTTACACCCTTCTTTTCCCATGTCATCACTGGATTCATCTGCATATGATCTTCTGCCGATGCCGCTGTGGATATCATCGGAATACCAGAAACCTCAACTGATTGATCATCATCAGCAACAATTTATTAAACAGGAAGATACTTCCATGTACATCACTGGCGGCGCTGCGGCTTCAGAGTTTATCAACCCACCGCCATTAATGGGGACTTATGAGGATACATCAGTAAACAATGGGCTGCCAAAACTCTGTGAAATAATCAATGGGAATCAGTATGGAATGAGTTCTTCATCTACTTCACAAGATTTTGAACCAGTTTCTGGTGCAGGTTTTTCAGGATTCCCTTCTGACCTTTATGCACCTGAGATGCAGGTGCCATTAGTTATATACTCTCAATACGGTGGGATGATTTGAGAGGTTTATGAATTCTTTGAAAATGAAGGAGGTGTCTCAAGAAGAAGTCATTGCAATTTATTCTAATAATCTTTACTATATAGATTGAATAATTTTGTCTGGTTGATCACTTGACATGAATTTTTATTTTATTTTATTTTGGTTTTAAAGGTCCTTCATAGATTTTGATAAAATTTCATGGAATATGTAATTGAAAAATGGATAGTTATTTATGTAAATTATGATATCTATAAGAGTGTCCATGATGTACACGTAGAATTTCATAATTGGAGGGTTGAAAAAACCGCAATGATGTTATGCAACTTTTACATTATGGATACCATAATATACATGTAGTATAACCCTAATTGAACCAAACAAAGAATAATGTATAATATGTTCGAGTATCAATCTTATTAAAATTGGATCGGGCTTGCAAATTCTAATAGAGAACAGCAATTCCTCTTGTACAAAGGAATTACTGTCAGAACTGCACCAAATGTTGTTGTACCTCTTGTTTTAAAAAACTAGTAAAATATCATTGACTAGCTGTAGAGCCGACCCAGACAATTTGGAGGCCCTAAGCGAGTTGACAATCTCGAGGCCTCATATTTTGTTTTTCTACACGTATAACAATATTTAAGTAAAAAAATATCTATATTTAAATGAAAACTTTGTACAATCTAAAAGATAGAATTGCTAAATAAAATATCACTTACAATCTGAGAGATTAGGCCAGCATCATATTTAGTCTTCTCATGTTTTGAGATTCAAATTAGTAATCAAACAACTCAAATCAAAATTTTCCAACATTTTCTTTTTCAATAGAAATCATAGCTAATCCATTCAACCTCTCTTGTGACATGGTTGATCGAAAATAAGATTTAATCAATTTTAACTTTGAAAAACTTCTTTCCGCGGACACAACAGAGACTGAGATAGTTAATAATATCTTGTAAGCGACCCAAGCATTTGCAAAACAACAATTCATTCTCTTTATGTAATCTAACACATCAACTGCTCCATTAATTTCTGTAGCTATTGCTTCCCTTAAAACCTTCAGCTCAGAAAATAATTACATTCCATAGATATCAGATACTGTGTTATGCTTCAAATAATTTTCAAGATTAATGCAACGACACTTCAATGTAGCATCATCAATGGATTTAAGCTTTTTCAAATCAAATAAAAATCCAAAAATATCATCATATTCTTGAAATTGTTCAAATATATTTTGAAGCGATAATAGAGCTTGATCTACTACATATAAGAAATAATTGACCCTGAAAGATTCTTCAACTATTTTTGTCATCTCTTCGCAGGAAATCTCATCAAACTGCTTCTTTCTACGTATAAATCTTTTTTTACGAAATATCAGTTCAATGTCTAATTTACTTGCAATCTCTTTAGTATCAATCATGGACGATTCAAACTCAATTTCTCTATAGCTTTTGAAAAATGAAATGAGCCATTTTAAACGGTCTATATCAACGTCAATATGGATGTCCTCTGTTTGCAAATGTTTGCTTACTCTAATAACATTATTCAACACTTCATACCAAATAACCATCCTAAGTAAGAATTCAAAATTCTCTATTTCATATGTTGCCAAACACTCCGCCTCACTTTTTTGTCTTAGGATCATCAACTCTTGCCAATTCAAGTAGAGCATTTCTTATTTGTGGAGCTTGAAATCTTATTGCTCTAATACTTTCAACATGACTTTCCCAACGTGTTTGAGACAAAGGCTTAAGAGTAAGGCCATTTACATTATCTTTAAAAATTTTCCATCTTTTAGTAGATGATAAAAATAGAGTGTATATACATTGCACCACTCCAAAAAAAGATTTAGCTTTTGTACAACAAGTAGTCATATCACAAAGTACAAGATTGAGACTACGACACCCACAAGGAGTGTAAAATGCTCTAGGATTTACTTGTAGTAGTCTATTCTGTACCCTTTTATGTTTTCCTCTCATGTTAGCACCATTATCATATCATTGACCCCTTATATTATCGATATCAAGCTTTAGATTATTCAATGCATTCACTAATTCTTCAAAAAGTCCCTTTCCAGATGTATCATACACCAATAAAAATCCTAAAAAAAATTCTTCTACCTTCACTGGACTTGCTGAAATATCAACACACTTCAATACTATAGACATTTATTCTTCGTGACTCAAATCTGGAGTGCAATCAAGTATCACAGAAAAGTACTTGGATTCTTTGAGTTTCTTGATGTTTATTTTTTTGATGTCACCCGTTAGTATAAGTACCAACTCATTTTGAAATTTGTGTCCAAGTTAATGATAATGAGTTTCTTTATTTTGAATTCGATGAATATGCTTTTGCACTACAGGATCAAACTCAGCAATAATTTGAATTAAGCTTAAGAAGATATCATTATTTTCTTGATATATCTTCTCATTATCTCCACGAAACGCCAAATTATTTTCTACAAGAGTTCTAAACACGGATATTATTCTCAATAATTCTCGTCTCCAATGTTCTCTATCCTTATTGATTTGTTCTTGCACACTTTTATCAATTGTTTATTTCTTTTGAAATCTTATTTCCATTTCGATCCATCTACTCATGTTAGTGATATGGTCATAACTCACTTCATGTGTTCTTAGTTTTTCACCAATATTTTTCCAATCATTCGCACCATCATGTGCTAATTGAGTTTGAACTCCATCATTCTTGAATAGCTTACAACAAAAACAAAATATTTTATCCAGACTTTTTGAATATATCAACCATTTTCTATCATGATTCTCTCCATTGGGTAATCGTCGAGTATAATGAACAGAGGAGAAGTGTCGATTAGCTACATCTTTTGGCAAAATTACATCATTATCTCTTATTGGACCTTTCATTACGATTAAATCTCTTAAATTCTTATTCATATTTTCTCAATTCGATGGATCACTAATATCAATGGAGAATGGTTCACTAATCTTTTCATTGATGTTTCTTTCATCCATAACATCATCCTCGATAGATATCTCTTCATTCACCAAAAGATGATGTTTTTCAATTGTATTATCACCAATATCATTCTTATTAAACTCTTTCTCGAGAACTACATCGCCATTATGTTTTTGTTTACTACCACTTAAAAATTTATCAAGGGCTCCCTCTTGAGATTTATTCAATTATTCAACCTTCTTATGTCGTTTTCTTTTAGAATATCCAGATTCAAATTTTCTAGTGGACTTAATTAAAGCAAATAACGGTAGAACCTGATTTAGAGTTTGAATTTAAAATATGCCGAATTCTCAAATATGCCAAGTGTAGGAGTTCGACAATCAACCTGCAAGAATCAATTAAAAACACCTTTTTAGGTTCTAATTAAAAAAATCTTGTTTTGAGAGATATTTTCCGAAGTGGAAAATGATACAAATATCCCCAACAATATTTACTTAGAATATTCCGAATGGTGAATGGGATTTACTAATAACACAAAATTATATAGTAATTTTGATTAAGATACTTTACTATCGAACAATAATATGGCAGAGCTAGGGGCAAAAATTGGATAAATTTATTCACCAAACATGAATAATAAGCGAACCATCAATCATCAGAAAATGCCTTACAATTCAAGGACGACGAAGAACCAAGGAATAGTTGAGTCCCTTTATGGTCAGATTCTATAAAACAAAATTTCCCCCGAACTCATTTTAATCGAACAATTTCCGAACAAGAAATAACCAAATAAATTTATTTTGCAAAATCTATTCTCGAAATATCTACCTCAAAACAGCCCTGAAATTATACCATTGAAACTTAAAATTAGTTAAAAACTAGGATTCCAACTTCCAAACTAGAAACAAAGACAAGAACGAAGTGAAGAAAATTAGAATTAACTTGGAAAATTGTAACAATCATTAGTCAATCAATCATTCCTATATAAAGTTCTACAACAAAATTTGGGAATTAATTAAATTTAAAACGCTGATAGAATCATAGAACTAATTATTAAGAGTAAAAAAAAAAAAAAACTATTTTTCATTCCTTTTCCACGGTTTCACCAATCACCATTGAGACTTTGAACAAACTTGAAACTACCACCATAGCCCATAGGATTAATAATCAGAAATTCAGATATAAGAGCTGGACATCCATTTTACTTACCAAAATAAAGGACCTGACAAAATATAAAAAAGGATTAGAGGAAGTCGAAAATGTCGAATTGAAAAGATAAAGCCAGCTAGGGCGGTTCGTTGTGTATGTTATAGACTCCAAGTCGCCAAAGAAAATTAATTCCATTGGTCCAAAACTCCAAGACCAAAGGCCCCAAACTATTTTTCTTATTTTGGGAATTAGAACTAATATGAATTTTAAGGCCTTGGGCCCAAACCAAAATTTGAAGGTCCTAGGCGGTGGCCTAGGTGGCTTGGCTCAAGGGCTAGCCCTGACTAGTTGATTAAGCAATAAACTGATAAGGAGGCCATGGTTTACTGGTTTGACTTGTTAAATTATCAACTGAAAAAGGGGGAAAAAAACTAATGAATTATAGACAAGCGTACAACATAAAAGATTGATTAGCTTATCACCGTTTAACCCAATCATCAAAGTCCTTTTATAAGTTTTTATGACACGATCTGCCCCGATTCACCTTAATGGACCCGACATATGATGTGCGTTGATAGTAGATACCAGTTAAGTGTCAAATCCACCGTCAAGACAACTTTAACCTGCTTCAACCATAACATAAAATCCTTTGCTTTTTATTTTAAATAAACAACTGTAAAGTTTAATGAATATAAAAAATCTGATATCCATGAAGATCTATGAAGTACCTTCGTTACTCAATACTATAAGCTGAAATCTTTACTGAATAAACTGAATTCTATACTCCGTAATCTGATAAACTGTAGTAATACTGAAAAATCACACCAAAAGGTACCCAAAATAACCTTATTTATGTATCGATTAGTATCAATATATATGACAAAACTATTAAATTCTGTAATTTTGAAACTATGAGATTCTTTAATTCTAAAATTATGGTCCTCTGTGCTCATAGATGCCCAAAGGCTATAATATGGTCATACACTACGAAAACACATTCACAATGCAGGATGGATAAAATTACCATCTAGTTATACATTGTAAAAATATATTAACATTAGTGCAGAGCAGGTG